TGTGTGTGTGTGTGTGTGTGTGTGTGTGTGTGTGTGTGTGTGTCAGACAGACAGACAGACAGAGACAGAGAAACAGAGACAAAGAGACAGAGACAGAGAAAGACAGAGAGACATAGAGATAATAAATAAGTATTTTGCATGCATATATATATGTGCATCACATATATATGCAATGTCATGGAGTCCAGAAGAGAGTATTGGATCCCCTGGAAATAGAATTGCAGACAATTATGAGTTGACATGTGGGTCCTAGGGACCAAATCTGAGTCTTCTGGAAGAGCAGCGAGTGCTCTTAACTGCTGAGTTATCTTTCTACCTTCCACCCATATCTTTGAGACAAGGTCTCATGTAGCCCAGGATGGCCTCTACCTCTTGATCTTCCTGCCTCCACTTCCCAAGTGCTGGGAGTACAAACATGTACCATCACATCATACCACCTTCTTTTTCTTTTCTTACAGACATAATAAGAGCCTGTCTTCCTACCTATGACTAAACCAGGTTAAAGTTGAACAAGGAGTTAAACAAGAGAGGAATTTACTAAGAATTTACGATCCAATAAACAAGATACCTAAGGTGTAGATAACTATAATGGAAGGCAAAAGATTTTAAAGGTGTGGTAAGAGGTGTTCCGAGGTAATAGATAAGAGTTTAGAACAAAATAAATTGCATTATGCTCTTTACAAGCCTTTGAACAAGGTCAGGAGAATTTAGTACATTACATCATTTACCAAATATTTAATTTATTTAAATGCTTGATTAGGGTCTCTTTACGGGAATACAGGATCACATTTTCTAAAGGTGCACAGCACTTCCCTGCAGCCACAATGCACTGAAGCTGTGATTGACAATCAGCGCTTTTGTTCTGAGAGCACTAGGAAACAAAATAAGCAGGAGAGGCAGTGATGTCTACCTAGCATACAACTTGCTGGAGAAGAACACTGTGCTGCCACTCCCCTGCAGACCCGGGGAGAGGGAAGTAGTTCTCTGCTCTTCAAAATGCCTTGGATGTAAGACTTGAAGCCCTGTGAAGCTGGAAAAATATAGAGTCATGAAGACAGGAAGTTTGTCTTGGCAGTGGCCTGGTCTCCAATAACACTGCTACTCATGAGCAATGTTGGCTTCTGAAGGTCAGAAAGCCACACTGCAGTTCACAGGTCCTTTTAACACACAAGTGAAACAAGGCACCCCAACCCTTAGAGAATGACTTGCCTAAGAAAACAAGAATAACAGTAAGTGTCTGTTAGAAAGTGACTCCTCCAGAGGTGAAGGGAAAGAACAGACCAGCTTCTGTTGGCATGTCCGTGTTCTTCTGTGCTCACCTTTGTCTACCTGCTTTTCCAGTCTGGATGATGGAATGTCATGAGATGCACCAAAACATTATAATTTTTTTAAAACTATCATATTTTAAAATATGGTGTCTCTCTATGTAGGTGGAGAGCCTCCACCTCCCAGATGTCCCCCTGGGCACTGTGCTCTCACTTTACAGTAATATGGTAAGTATCTACCTCTTGCTCAGACATCAGCCCAGGACTGGAGCTTCTCTAAGGGCAGAACTGTTATTCTTCATTGAAAAATAACTCTGAAACTTCAAGCCAAGCCACTGTCTCAGATTTCCTGAAGTACTAATAAGGTTTAAGAATTTTAATCTCATAGAGTGCTCCACCGCCATCAACTTAAACCTTTGTTCGAACCATACTATTGGTTCATGAAATTATGGAAAGAGAACCAAAACCACAAAACTATTAAAGGGTGGAGAGAGAGACAGAGACACAGACACAGAGAGAGCCATGCTTACAAACTAAGGAAGCACCCCGTTGGAACAGAACCAACAGCACTGCGAAATGGAGAGCCTTCCCAACACCGAACAAGTGCAAACAGTGAGTTCAGTTCTTTCGCAACAAGGAAGAAGGTGGGACACAGGAAACGTTTCATTGTATGAAACAAGGTTTTAAAAATCAGTGAAGAAGGCCATTTGAATCGCGGTACGACAGAGGGGTGGCTGTGGGGATCTGGCTGTACATCTGCCTGGTGTCGTCTCTTCTTTGCTTGCTTGTTAGATCTTCAATAGGGTCGGTTGGAGATAGCTGGAGTAAGGCTGGAGAGGACCCTGGAAAGGTTTCCCGCCGAGGCTTGCAGTTCCCTGTGGGTGGCATTCATCCGCACCAGAAATCTAGGACAACCAGCCACGGACGTGTGGGAGCAACCGCCTCTGTGTTCAGCACAGCCATCCTGGAGTACCTCACGGCAGAGGTACTAGAGTTGGCAGGAAATACATCAAAAGACTTAAAGGTAAAGCGTATTACCCCTCGCCACTTGCAACTTGCTGTTCGTGGAGATGAAGAACTGGACTCTGATCAAGGCTACAATTGCTGGTGGTGGTGTCCTCTCACACATCCACAAGTCTCTGATGGGAAGAAAGGACAACAGAAGACTGCTAAGGATGCCTGGATTCCTTATTATCTCCGGACTCTAAATATTCTTAACCTTAATGTCCAGTGTCAGTGATTCCAGTGGTTTGTATCTCTGAAAAACACAATTTTGCCTTTTGCAATTCTATTTGAGTAAGTTGGAGGCTTTATTAGCCTTCCAACCAACCAAATTTCTGCATTCGGGTCTTAACCATATTTAAGTGTTACTGTGGCTTCAAAGAAGCTATTGATTCTGAAGTAGTGGGTTTTGAGTGAGTTGACTGTTTTTAAAAAACTGTTTGGATTTTAATTGTGATGCAGAAGTTATAGCAACAAACATTTGATTTCGTACAGACATTATTTCTACTGGTAGATAGGCTCAATAAAGGTCATATCAAAAAAAGTGAAGAAAAGCTACCACATGCAAGTTGACAACTTAAAGGCCTGCAGAAAGTTGAGTGGCCTTGAGATTAAAAAAAAAAGCATACCTAGACTTTTGACCAAGTTGTAGCTACAGGATGCCTTGTTTTGTATCCTTAATATCAACATGGGACAAGATTCTTGGCCACCTATTTAACAGGTGGTGCTGAGCATTGAGCAGGGGTCAGGGACAGTGGCTTCCAGAAAGTAGAGAGTATGAGAGAATTACTCAACACACCAAATTTCTAAATGCATAAAAGAAAATTCACACTTAAATAGGCTAGGGATATTGCTCAGTAGTAGAATATTTGTCTAAGAAGCACGAGGTCCTAGATTAAGCCTTAGCACTGATGATGATGATGGTGATGATGGTGATGATGATGATGGTGATGGTGATGTTGATGATGATGATGGTGATGGCAATGATGAAGAGGAGGAGAGAAAAAAGAAAAAGAGGAAGAAGAAAGAGGAGAAGAAATGGAAAGAAGAGAAGGAAGTTGTTTTGTAGAAATCTACACTTCATAAATTCACTTTACATCAGTAGTTCTTAACTAGGGAAGATTTTACCAAGCAAGGAACAATTGTAATGTATATGGATAGTTCTGTTGGCTTGACTAACAGAGGCATTGGTCATTGGCCATGGGATCTTGTATGAACAGTTTGCATACAGAAGACAACCTCACACAGCAAAGGAGAAGCTGACCCCAAAGTCAATAGAGCTTGTGTTGAGAAATTCTGCTTTAGATGAAACACACACAAACTGAAGTATCTAAAAATTCCCAAAGGTAGCTAAAGAATCCATATCCTCTTAATGTAAACCTTTTTGGGGAAAGGTTAAAAAAATAAGATGAGCTAGTATAAAAATTGATACACTGAAATACTTCTTTTAAAAGATGGCATCTCGCCGGGCGGTGGTGGCGCACGCCTTTAATCCCAGCACTTGGGAGGCAGAGGCAGGCGGATCTCAGTGAGTTCGAGGCCAGCCTGGGCTACCAAGT